ACACAAAAATCTAAAAACTATAGATTCGGCTTCTGAATCGATAATAATGACTATTTCAATAAGATTTTCCAAAAAAATCTCTAATATACAGATTCGATTTCTCTCTCAATTTCTCTCTTCGATTCGACTCAGAATTTTATTACACGTATTTTTTTTTAAAACATGATTCTTATAAGTTAGCAAGTTTAGAAATAGGTGCTTGGTAAATATTTATGTTGACATAGTTGCGTTTGCTGTCTATGATAATGAGGGCGTTGACCGCGGCATGCACCTTAAGGGCCCGACTGCATGCTTTCGGATCATCAATGGGTCTAAATTTTTATACTTGTAAAAAATATTTAAAAATATCGAGGATGCTATTAGTCTAAGATGCCAGGGCCGCTAGACGTCACGTATTTTCTGACGAACGAAATGTGGACGATTGGGTAGTGTTAGTATGTACTAAAATCGCATGCCTACCTGCTAACTTGGTTAGACGGCCAATTTCCAGGTAACAGGTAATCAAGGTACCTTAATAGATTACTTACCTCACGTAAATTCTCCAAGCTGATTTTCACGTATATTTTAGACAATATCGTTAAAAATAAGTCGTCAATAGGTACTCCCAGACACTTTCCGTCGGCCGTATTGCTTTGCAGACGCTTTAAAGGTCCCAAAACAATTACTTAACTTCACGTAAATTCTGATGCTCCATTTTAATATATATTTGCCAGACAACTATTTTAAAACCTTTTACAAGAAGACAGACCAATCCAAGGGGTCAATCACCCCCTAAACTCAATTTTCCTACCCACAAAGGAATTAAAATTGAACCTACCACACACGAGTGTGTCAAATTACAAACATTTATGATGTGAAAATTATGGTATGTATATAAAAAAATTACTTTAAAAATACTTAGTTTAAAAAACAACATTTTTTTCTTAACGTTGACATTTTTGAAAAATGATCCACTAGCCACTAGTTGGCGTAAAAGTGTAGACGCAGTTTTAGTTACTAAATATCACATCATATAAAATGCGTAATTTTGTTTATGGTAGATTTCGATGTAAGGTTTTACTTTTTAGGAGTATCCATATAGGTGTCTTTTTTTAAAAAACTCAATTTTTATGTCTTCTGAAAAACGCGCAGTATAGCTCGGTCGCCTAGTACCTACTGTTTATTATGAATACAAAAGGACCCTAGGGTCGCACTAAGTCACTAGAGAGATACGTATGTATGTATACGTATATATGATATAGAAATCTTAGTAAACGATGGCTAACTGTTAAACAAATAAGAACAGTGGCATACCTACCAACTTAGTCTATTTGTGTCTTAAATTTTAAAAGACTTTTCAATAATAAATAAAATCTGTTTGTCATTTTTAGTGTCAGGAAGTATCTAACTATCCTTTGAGCTAGAGTAGTTATTGATATTTGTTTACCTAATTTTGTACTCTACCATGACTTTGGTAAGTAAAAGTCAAAAATAAAGCCTGAAGAAGAAATGGCAAAACACATCGGCTATTGATTTTAAAAGTCTGGTCAAGAGTCCAAGACTTATATTGTGTAGACCTGACACCGTTAGGAAGCGGCTTTACGGTGTTACATTACACGGTTTCAGTGTCCACCATACAATGAAAGTATTCACATTTTAAATATATAGTATACTAGCGACTTACCATCGCTCGGGTGCGTTCCCTAGCTTTTTACCTGACTGCGGCGAAGCCCAAAGGAGGGTTATGTGTTCGACCTGTATGTATGTATATATGCATGTACCTATATATGTATGTCCGACCATATGTTCCCTCGTAAAATTCCTAAACGGCTCAACCGATTATGATGATTTATACGTGGTTAATTCGTCTTGATAACGCGACTGCATAATACTATATATGTTCCTTTTTTTAAAGTTGGGAAATCGTTTATGCATAGGTACCATTTGTAAACATACAGGTGATTATAAAGGACTCACCAGCTAGAAAAACCAGTACTACTTACTAAAACCCAACAAAACCTCCCCCATCATAATGGGGTGGACAGCAACCACAACAACGATGGAGTTGCTCCAACGGTCCACTCTGCCATGAGAGAAGTACTAGGAGCAACCCGCATGGCACACCACTCACCGAAGTAGGCCACCTCCCAGTGCGTTTCTTGGTTTTGCGCCCGGCTGAGCTGCCGGACGACTGTCTCCCACCACGACAAGGTGAACGCACGTTGGGATCGATGATACTATGTTCCTTTATCAACTTGTTCTCATCTTTTTACTTCGCTTATTACGCATTGGTGGTTTTAATTTATTTGTAAATTAATTTTGTCCTTATCATGTTATATACAGACAACGCCACCTTATGGAAAAAACTCTGGTCTATGTATTTCATGTCATCGAAATTCACAAACAAGCACTTATAATAATAGAGAAGTGATTATTAAAACGCAGTACGCAGTGGTAGCCCAGTGGTAACGCGCTCGCTTGGGAAACCGAATGAAGCGGGTTTAAATTCCGGATCTGATGTTTCGCGTGCGAATAATTTCCAACACGATCACTATTTGTCTTACGGAGAAGGAAAACATCGTGAGAAAACCTGCGTGTTTGAGAGAACTTAGCAAGTTTTCGAAAGACACGCTCAGTCGGCCCGCACTTGGCCACTTGACTTGACTATGGCCTGATCCCCCTCATATTGAAGGGAGGCCCGTGCCTAGTAGTGGGACGTTAAAAAGGGCTTAAAATGTTAGAATGTAGTAGGCATGTTATTTTGATATCATGCAGTTTTATTGAGTACAATAAACTTATTGACGATGGTTCATAAGGCAGATTTATTTCGCTTACTTTCATCTCGACTAAATTAGGTAATTGACGTGGCGGGTATCAAATTGACACAATTGGTACGACCGGTTACATAATACATACATACATATATTATGTATATTTTAATATCTAAATCTGCATCTATGTATGTACATAATATATATTATAAGCTTTTACGTATTAGAATAGTTTAATTTTTGCTCAAACGTTTAAGATAAATGAAATAATCTAAAATAGTTTTTTTGCATCATATAGTACCTCCTGGCGATTTACCCTCGCTCCGCTCGTGTTCGTCCCTAGTTACGTTTTAACTATTTCTCAGGAATATGAGGACTCGGATAGCCAGCTATCATCATACCAAATTTCATCAAAATCTGTCCAGTGGTTTTCTCGTGATGCGTCTCCAGATAGACAGACAGACAAAAACTCTAAAAATGTTAGAATCGGCCTCTGTATCGATAATAATGACTATTTCAATAAGATTATCCAAAAAATATTTAATCTACAGATCCGGCTCAGTTAGAATTTTATTATATTGTATAGATATACAAATATTTTAATTTATTGTAATTTATTTATAATACAATATTGTATTCGATATATTCGGGAGAAAAGAATTTTGGATAAGATTTTTTATTTTATTATTCTGTCTAGCGCGATACCAATATTGTATCGAAATTGGGTCAGTTATGTAGTAGGAAGACCAAAGTTCTCTACATTATCAAGCTTACGTAACGATTCTCGTAACGACTTGAATTAATGTAAATAAATAAATATTTAATTTCGCGCTCGAATCTTATAGGAGAAAAATGCATCATAAATATGGATATAATAAGTACATTGAAAATATAAGATATAATACCTCGCTTGTTCTTAAAATAAAATGCACAATTAAAACTTTATTTTCGCATTTTTATGTAGTAGGTACTATGTAATATTTATATTTTCAAATATTTTATTAACACTATTCCACAACCTATACCTACATTTTTATGGTATATTTTACGGAAAACTAGCACACCTTTAGGTTCAGATTTAAAGTAATTTAGATTCATGCCTAGACGAATCTAAAAATGAAAATATTTTTGAAAAATAAAAGATTCAACAATTTGTATCAATTATTTAGAATGTTATTGTACTACTAACGCCATCTGTCGTACATTATAGAAACAATAAGACATATCGATGTGAACGAATTACGAAATGTTAATGTTTAGTTAAAATCGAATTAGGTTCTAAAATGTCATGATATTTTTATTGTGGCTTAGACAAGATGTTATTATACAATCGCATGGAATGCATGGAAAAGACAAAACTCGTTAAGTCATAGAACCACAACATGTCTTCCATATATTTTTTTTAATTTGGTTTTCAACAATTCCTAATATTTATATACATACGTTGGTTTAATATTTTCTTTATTATATAATACTTTTTTAGATTTATGTGAATATTTGACATTTTAAATTAACAGTCATTTCTCGGATTTTTTGACTAGAGGTTTCACCCGTGACCATTGCTGTAAAGCATTCGAAACGTCGGGAATTAAGAATGAAAATAAATCCACAAAAAAATCCGAAGACATAGTTTATATTTATAGTTTATATTTATAAAAAAAATCTTTAATGAGATCAAAAAGTATTTATATCTAAACCATAAGTTAACCGTTTTTTAAAAACAGTTAATTAAAAAATTACGTTTATGTTTGGTAGTTAAATAAGTAGTAAGCTTGATACGAGTTTGAACAAAGTGAACGTGGATTAGTAGGCTAAATGCGAAGGGCAAAACGTTCTAACGTAATAGATTGAATTTCTAAGGCCCCTAATTTATTTACGTCTTTTGAATATATAATATAATACATAAGAACTTTATATTACCTACTACTTTTAGTTTATTATTCGCAACTATGAAAAACAATACCTTAATCGGCTGAATCAATAACTGAAAATACGTTTCTTGTGCGTAATTATGTACACGATAGTACCTATAGATGTGGGTGGGTGGTGTATGAGTGTATAGGTCCGAGATATTAGCGGCTCACACTGATTCGTGGGTTCGAATCCGGTCCATACATTCTTACTTGTATGAATACGAATTTAAACGCAATAAACTAACTGACATGGATTTTTATAGGTATATATAGATAAGCACTGATTTCGTAGTATCAGTGTTACATTAGCGTTATTGAAAATATTGTTTATTTACAGTTCATCCATACAAAAGTATCATGCAACGGCAAAGTTTGCTATCTCCAGTCTATGCAAGAACCTCGGGAGCTCGATGTGTCGGAGGTCGCGAATGCCCTTAGAAGGAACTACAGCAAACAACACGGAAGACCCGAAGAAAACCGGAGGAAACAGCTATCCGACAGTGAGAGTGACTCGGATTCCGATAAAGGTTACAAAGGATTCGATCGAGTGAGTATAGTTAATTAAATAAAAAACTGTAATTTTTGTTTGTTTTATGTACAAAAAATAAGAAATAAAAGATTTTTACCTTTTATTCAATTTAAATAGTGAATAGATTTAGAAATATAAACTGTGGAAGTAAAAAATAAAAAATATTGCATCACTTTAAGGAGTTTAAAGCAGTTTGTTTGTTTGTGTGTAAAAACAATGATATCTAAAAGTTAAACATAGACGTGCCATTTTAAGTCAGACCACAAATAATAAACTAATAATTTACATATGTACCTCTGTAATTGAATATTCAAATTCTATTCAATTTCCATCGAAAAACCATATAAGAAACTTGTCGAAAATTATACATTTATGTCTATTTGAGTGTCTGTCTATACTCTAAAGCTTTATAGCTGCAAAACTTAAAATAAGTGAATAATATCTATAACAAAATACCTACCTACTAATTAATTTTAAAAGAAAAATATGATTTTTCAGTCAGAATTCTGGCGGCGGAAAATGCGTACAGTACACAATATACTGGATGTAGACAAGGACGGGCTGATCTCATTCAATGACTTCCTTCTCTTTTCCGAACGATTTAAGTCCTTAGGACACTTGGACGACCAACAGGCGAAGGAGTTCACAGATATTATAAAAGTAAGAAAAATATATGTATATTTTACATAAATTTCTTGTAAGTGATCGTCTGACTTTAAATAGATCGACCGATTCAGATCATATTTCCAATAATATACATATGAAAGTTGAAGTTGAAAAGCTGGGAGGGGTAGGGTGGGTGGTTTAAAATCATAGCCCGATATATAAGTGAAATTATTGTAAAAAATCTTATTAAGTATTAATGAAAATGCCAAAAACGATAGCTATAAAATAAGGTACTTTGCAAATCTAAGATCTTCTTATTGATTTTAATATTACGGAAAAGGCAGAGGAGTATATTGTATGGGACTGTGAAGAGAATGTGAACAAAAAAGATAATAAAGTAAAACTACATGTATTGTAATACATTAATCAGTAAAGTATGCCACTAGGCAATATTTTGTAACCGATATTATTCCAAACATAAAACATTCATAAAATTTCAGTTAACATGGGAAGAACAATGGGGTGCGATAGACCCCTACAATTTCGTTACTGTGGAGCAATATCTAGAAGATATGCAGCACATGTTAAACGACAAGACTCTAAAAAAGAAGGCGCATAAATGGCTGCCATATTTGTTTAAGGTAATTTGAGCTAAAATTCTAATTATTAACAAAAAACTTCAATGTAATATTTAAGTAGTTTATTATTGTTTATTATTTTATTCTTCTTCAATGTCAAACTCGAATTAAAAATATTATATTATAAATCATTTATATAGGTACCTACTAAATCTATACAGATAAATAAAATTGCAGTGTCTGTTTGTAATGTCAAAATAACAGGTTTTTACTAAATGCATTTCATTTTTATATACGGTACTTATAAGAAAAATACATTTTTTTTAATTTTTGTCTCTCCGTCTGTTTGTTCGGCTAATCTCCTAAACGGCTGGACCGATTTTAACGGTTATTTCACTGGCAGATACATGGCAGGTGGCAGAAGCTGATGTTATAAGGAGTAACTACTTTTATTATAGAAAATAATTAGGGTTACGGTCACAAAAATTAAAACGTACCTAGGGACGCACCCTAGCGAAGCAAGGGTAAGTTGTTAGTACCAAATAATTCAAATATTTAAAAAAAATTCTTTCCATATGATATAATATGTTACATATTCTACGTGCATATAATATAAGCAACAACAGAATTAAATCAAATTAAATTATACTTTATTCAAATAGACTTTTACAACTACTTTTGTATGGTTAATTTTTACATTTTATATTATATTTAAATTAGATGTATTAGGTACATAGGTCCGTGAGGAATCTACTACCGGCTCGGAAGGCTGCTCAAGACAATACAAGAAAAAATAATATTTTTTATAACTGTAAATGTATGAAGGTTTATTTAATTTTTTATAGTCTTATTAAAAACTAGCATTGCCTGCAGCTCCGCCCGCGTTTAGATGAGCAAAAACCAAATTCTTAGGCTTCCCATATTACTCATATATTGCAGTTTTTTGTATTTTTTCTCAGAAATGAGACATTTTGCCGCGGTGAAAAGTATCCTATATGTTGACCCGGATAACCAACTATCACCATACCAAATTTCATCAAAACCTCGCCAGTGGTTTTTCTAAGATGCGGTAACAGACAGACAGACAAAAATTATAAAAACTATAGATTCGGCCTCTGTATCGATAATAATATTTATTTCCATAAGATTTTCCAAAAAATATTCAATGTACAGATTCGGCTTAGTTACAATTTTATTATATGTATAGATTTAATAATATGTTGTAATAATGTATGTCCAACAGGCAGTAGACAAGGACAAGACCGGCTACATATCGGTGAAGGAGTTCAAGCTGTTCTTCCAGTGCCTCGGCCTCGACAACGAACACGCGGCCGTTGCCTTCGCTGTCATAGACACTAACGGGGTTAGTTTTTATTTAATTTATAATGTTAATTTATATGTATATATATAAGAAAATTTAGGTTTGTATATATTTTTAATGCTGAATCATAAAATAAAAATAAATTAAAATCATAAATTTTGTCCAAAAAAAAAGTACATTTATTTGGGGTGGACCACCCTTATCACTTAGGGGGTATGAAAAATAGTTCTCATACCTTCTGAATATACACACTAAATTTCATAAGAATCGGTCAAGCCGTTTCGGAGGAGTTTTGTTACAAATACTGTGACACGAGAATTTTATATATTATTAGAGATAATAAATAAATTTGATTTAATACAAGACAAAGTTTGGCATAACAGCGTTGCGGTTGTCTTTCCTTAAAGAAATTTGATACAAATTTGGACGAAAATCAATGTTCCCTTTAAACATGTTACCCTTAGACATTTATTCATCATTAAATCTAAAAAAAAATAAGTTCAGTGGAAGTAGTGACTTTAAAATGATAATATTCTTACATAATTAATTTCATTGTTTCAGGACGGAAAGATATCTCTCAAGGAGTTTGTAAAACTCGGAAAGGATTTCTTCTGTACAGAGGACGAATCGAGAGTCTCCAAAATGTTTTGGGGACCGCTTATTGATGTATAATTTTAAATGAGTACTTTATAATTTCTGTTTTATATTATAAAAGTAGTATGTTTTTTAATTTTATAGGCTATGGGAATTATGAGATACATAATCTTAATTATTTGTATTCTATGTCCCATTCTGGATTGTGGTATTTTTTTTATATTATCTTATACTAGCAGAATCCGCGGCTTCGCCCGCGTTTAAACTACAAAAAAATGTGTGTGTTTACTTATGCACGCACGTAAGAAGTTATACTTCTGTGGCGTAATAGAACAAAAATAGCTCAAGATTTCATCCCGTACATCACAACTTTCTCTTTGTAAAAGGAATGATAAATAGATAAATATATATATATATATATATATATATATATATATATATATATATATATATATATATATATATATTTATCAATTATATATATTTTAAATATATAATATATATATATATATATATATATATATATACATATACATATAGGTATATATTTGTCGGCGACGGAAAACTTATCTTCGAGTAACGTGTGTATTAATATAGGGACAATGTCATTTTAGCGTATTATGAATAATTGTTGTAAATATGAAATCTCATTCTTATTAGATTTATTATGTTAAAATAAGTTCTAATTAGTGTAATAAGGTTAGTTTAGAGTATTTTTTGCTTATTTGAATCATATAAGACTATTTAACATTAATTTGAAAGGAATAGGTACGTAAGTAAAATGTTAGCATATAATTACGTAACTTGAAAATGAGATTTTTTGTTTCTTGCAATAGCATAATAGTTTATGTTTTAAATAATAGATTTTATTATAAAACTTATAATAAAACAAGAATTAGGTCGATAGGACTATCCGTTCAAAAGTTATAAGGGAAAATGTATAGTAAAAATGTAGCAACCTAGAAATTTAGATATTTTTGTTTTAAGACTTTTTTAATTAATTATTATATATTGAATATTATGTTTTAATATTGTATAATAGTATGTAAGGCATGTAAATAAATAAATATGTGTAAGGTGTTTTACTGAAAACATAAAATAAAAGGACTCTCAAGGTTTCGGTTTAGGGAAATTTTATTCGAAAAACGAGCTCAAAGTACGCGGCTCTCTGTAAGGTATTAACGGGCCAAATAAAAGGCGAGCCATTTCTCGATTCGAGTCAGTCGCAAGACAGCCACCGAAGAGGCAACAACTAAAAGGAAAAGGAAGAACCGAAACCAAGAGAGAAAAAAGGAAAAATTGTGTTTTATTTCATCGCCTCTAAGTATAGTCTCCTGTCAACGAAGAAACCCTAGTGGATCGGGACCCAAGCTACGCATTCAGGGGTGCGTGGTGGCGTACATTACCAGCGAACGGACATACTGCCGTGTACGCCAAGAACGTCTGGGAGATTGTCCCAGGTCGACCTCCGGGTACTAGACATACCCTGGTTCTGGTCGTCCGAAACAGTTGGTCCTTCGAGCCGGATCCCTGCTAGAAGAAGTTCAGAAGAAACAGAAGATTGCGTTCAAGATGCCGGTAACCAGGTCGCAGAAGGATGCCCCCTCACGTCCCGGGTCCCGTCCTTCAGATAGGGACGCGACAGATGGAACGTCGGGATCAGAAGGGGTCACGTCAGCGTCGGCGTCATCGGGAACTGCAACTACATCGAACACTTCTTCGGGTACCACGACCACAGAGGGCACCACAGTGACGGAGACTACGGTTACGACTGCAACTACGGCGGCGTCTATGGAAGGCAACAAAGAAGATGCTGCACAGAGGATGACCAGGAAGAGCCAAGAAGATGTACCTGGAAAGGATGTTCAAGGCTCCTCCAAGACCCTGAAACCGATGGGGGTCAGTCGTCGCGCCAGGTCCACGAAGACCACGAGTTCCTCGGCCAGAAGACGCGAGCTAGAAGCAAAGGAAGAGTTGGCACGCCTGGAGTTGAAGCAAGCACAGGCTGAAACTAAGCTAGCCCGTGTCAGATTGGAGATGGCACAGTGTGAAGAAGAGGACTCCGTGGATGAAGACCTGGAAGACAGAACAGCACAGGTGCAGAACTGGATCGAGACGTCTGTGCTGGAGGATGGCAACAAAGTTCAACCAGAGATGCGAGGTCCACACCCCTTAGAAGAGCCACAGAAGATGAAGCCTGAAGAGAACTCCTCAACGAGAGGAGCTACGATTGAAATTCAAGCACTGACGGCAGCATTGAAGGAAGCTCTTACCACGCGAGGACCAGCAGGACAGCCAACCTACATTCACGAGTTACCCTACTTCGACGGCAACAGCAGCGAGTGGATGGCCTTCAAGGTTGTCTATGAAGATACAGCACCGATGTTCAACAACGTCCAGAATATGGCTCGGCTAAGAAGAGCACTGAAGGGCAACGCAAGAGAAGCTATCAAGAGTCTGCTGTACTCCGAAGCCTCTCCGATGGAAGTGATTCAAGCCCTCAGAAGAAGATATGGAAGACCAGATGCACTGGTGCTGGCAGAGTTGGACAAGGTCAAAACGTTGCCGAAGATTTCTGAAAACCCAAGGGACATATGCCTCTTCGCGAGCCAGATCAGCAACAGCGTAGCGGCAATAAAAGGATTGAAGAAACCACAGTACCTGCATTCACCTGAGATGGTGAAACAAGTTATTGAGAAGATGCCTACGATCCTCAAGTTCCGATGGTACGACTTCATTGAAACAACAGAAGGCGAGTTCTCCGACCTAACACTGGTGTCCAAGTTCCTGAACAGAGAAGCAGACAAGTGTGGAGCCTATGCATCAACAGAAGAGAAGAGCGGGTTCAGACGGACTCATCGACAAGCAACGCATTCAACTAAGGAAAAGGACTTCAAAGAAAAGGTTTCAAGATCAGAGAAGACTTGCCCCATGTGTGAGGGTGAACACTTCCTCGTCGGGTGTCAGAAGTTCCTGAAGGCGTCTGTGCAAGATCGATGGGCAATAGTGAAGAAAAGCCGCGTTTGCTTCAAGTGTTTACAAGGGACACATCGGAAGGAGAGCTGCAAGAAGCCGTCGTGCAAGGAATGCAAGAGGTGGCATCATCATCTGCTGCACGTCGAGACAGAGAAAAGTTCCTCGGAAGAACAGAAGAACAAACCACAAGAAGTGGCGAGCATCATGGCATCGGTGAATGCGGTCAACAACGCAAGGGCATACCTGAAGATAATTCCGATAGAAATCTTCGGGTCAAAAGGATCAAAGAAGATATTGGCCCTCATGGATGAAGGGTCAACAGTGTCGCTGCTAGACCAGAAGGTAGCAGAAGAAATCGGCGCTCAAGGAAGAAAGGAGGAACTGGTCATCGAGACTGTTGGAGGCAGGCTGATAAGGAAGGAAGACTCTCAGATGCTTGACCTTACGGTGAAGGGGATTCATCAGAAGACCAAGAAGACCTTGAGAAGAGTCCGGACCATCGAAGAGTTGAAGCTTGCACCGCAGTTCCTAGAAAAGAAAAGGATAGAAGAGTGTCAACACTTGAAGAAGATTGCTGACTCTCTATATTATAAGGGGGAGTCACCACAGCTGCTCATCGGTCAAGACAACTGGGAGCTAATCGTGACTCAAGAAGTAAGAAGAGGGAAACCAGGACAACCAGTCGCTTCAAGAACAGGACTTGGATGGGTGCTCCACGGGTCAGACACTGGAGGCGCGAAAGTGGTGCACTTCTTAAACACGTGTCTACATGTCAGCACGCCAGAAGAAGAGATGCATCAAGCCATCAAGGATCACTTCGCAATCGAAGCACTTGGAGTACTACCAAGAAGACCCACTACGGATTCAGAAGAAAGAGCACTCACCATCCTAGAGAAGACCTGCAGAAGACTAGAAGATGGTCGATTTGAAGCTGGACTTCTATGGAAAAATGAAGATGAACAGATGCCTGAAAGCTACACGTCTGCCAAGAACCGATTGTTCAACATTGAAAAGAAGATAGACAAAGACCCTCAGCTGAAGGCAGAATACAATAAGCAGATCCAGCATCTAATCGACAGCAAGTATGCAGAAGAAGCACCTGGTGGACAAGAAGATTCAAAGAAGACATGGTACCTCCCTCATTTCTCCGTGGTACATCCATTGAAGAAGAAAATAAGGATCGTCTTCGACGCTGCAGCCAAGTCTAAAGGGAGAAGCCTCAACGACGCTTTACTACCGGGACCAGACCTACTGCAATCGCTCTTCGGGGTATTACTGAGGTTCCGGCAAGGCCCGTTTGCAGTGGCAGCCGACATAAAGGAAATGTTCCTGCAAGTTCGCATCCGGCCAGAAGATAGAAACAGCTTGAAGTTCCTGTGGCGAGGGGATCGTCGTGACGTAGCACCGAAGGAGTACAGAATGACATCAGTCATCTTCGGCGCGACATCATCTCCTAGCACAGCGATCTACGTGAAGAACCGGAACGCGGCGGACTACAAGAAGCAGTACCCAGAGGCAGCAAAGGCAATCGAGCTGAACCATTACATGGATGACTACCTGCACAGCTTCCATTCAGAAGAGGACTTCAAGAGAATTACAGCGCAGGTGGACTTCATTCACAAAAAGGCGGGCTTCGAACTCCGAGGATGGGCGTCAAACCACTCCGACCTGCTGCAAGACGTGAAGACTGAGTCAGTTGAGAAGACAGAGGTGGACCTTGGTGAGAAGGAAGAGAAGACACTGGGACTACGCTGGTTTACAGAAAGGGACTCCATAGGCTTTAGGGCGAACCTTCGGAACACGCCAGATGAAGTGGCACAAGGACTCAAGGTACCTACGAAGAGAGAAGTCACCAGCGCCGTGATGTCGACCTTCGATCCACTAGGGCTAGCATCACCAATTCTCATCCAAGGCAAAAGGCTGCTCCAGAACATATGGCGAAGTGGCGTCGGTTGGGATGAAGAGATAGAAGAAAAGGAGTACGAGTCATGGAAGACTTACCTGGAGAAGATGAAGCTGCTCCAAGACCTTCAGATCCCGAGATGTCTGGCACCACGTCGCACCGAGGGGGAGCTGCACACGTTCACGGATGCAAGCGA